GAGGTGTGCTCTGATTTGCCAGCTATCCAGTGCGTTATGCCCCTCACCATACTGTGATGCCATCAGGCCGGAGCGACGAGACAGAAACATGAAAACCCATTATAAACGAGGCATTCGTTGCATCCAGTGGGGACATAATTACTGATTATAATGACTTATACTGTCTTTTACACATTGCGTTGCATCGCATAGCATCGCACCGCATAAACATAAAACTCTGTCTGCATTTGTGATCGGAGAAATGACAAACAACAAGCGCTACTCTACACTGCCCAAATCTCGCGTTTGAATCATCAGTGGCAACGAAAAACACAGCGGCCTACCGTGAGGGCAAGCCCTGGCTTAGCGTGCGCTGAGGCCAGGATATAGTGAGCTGAGGCGGGCTGGACTCCGCATTGTCCACGGTGAAAATTGATGTATTTCCTCAGCGACCCGCACAGATCAGCTCTAAGCATGACGAAGCGGATATCGTCCTCTTTAGGAAGACCAAACAAAGGAGTTTCGCTTTCACATCGAAACACAAAACACCTTCACGACATGGCTGCAGCGTCAACAATACTACAGCGAGAATAAAAGTTACGCCTTCTTTCTTTGCGTGAACATTTGGGCGGCGTTATGCAAATCTACCCACATAGTGATGTAGACATGTGGGAGCGTGTTAGAACGAGCCGTTTTAGGTAGGCGTGGTTAACTCTTAACGTTTATAAAGAATATCTCTTTGGATTTGAGACTTTAGTCTTTGCAACTTTACAGATCTTCTTTATGCACCAAGAGCTTGTAACACTCCAAAGACACAGGAAAAATTGAAATCGCATCATATGACCCCTTTAAATTAGATTTTGCATCCTCTTTGCTACCTCAATTGAAATTCTAGAGCTGAACTGGAATGTTTAAGTGCTGAATGTCGCAGACTCTGCTACAAGCATGTATAACGGCTGTAAATATGGCAGTATAACAGTGCTTTCTAAGGGATTGAGGTTTTTATTAGAGCACAGTTAATGGTGACAGTAAATCATACAGCTTAAGTGTCTGTGTCTAATTCTCTGGGATCCTATGCACTTCTTTCTGTCGGTATGAGGTTTGCCACAGAGAGTTTCTGTTGTTACCATATTTTTAAGGGATCTTCGTTTGTTTTTAATGGTAAGCAATTTCATCACTGCTTTTAAAAGAGAAAATCTCAGAAATGCGGTAATGAGTTTAATGTATCATGGGAGATGGTGAGGCTGTATGGCCCATGAGAGAAGAGCTTTAAATGCATGCCATAAACCCATCAAACTCCAGTGCTATTGGAGAGCTACACTAAAAGGTCTGGACCGCAGAGGAAGAGAAGGCGATATCACTGCTGCTGCCAGAAGAGACTGACAGAGCAGGTCTGTCAAGGGAAGACAGGTTTACAGAGAGGTAAACCTTACCGTGGAAGAATACACATATGGGATTACCTGTAGGGAATCAAGCCATATGGACACCTAGCCCAGTAAAGGGGCTAACCGGGACTCCGGTCATGCTAACACCAGTACTGGGCCTAGCGTCAGACTGCTCTGCCAAGTCTGACTGCCGGGGTGCTGGAGGATGCTCGACCAGGGTTCGCCAACCGGGGAACTCTACTGGGAGAAGAAAGGCACTCACATCCCCGTGTGAGGGGGAATGGCGCAGCAAGCGTGACACCAAGCCAGTTCTTCCCGCCAATTACCTGTTACCCAACACACGGGAAGAAACCGGCTCTACCCGAAGGTTGTAAAACCATGCGAAGGTGTTAGGTGTCGCCCAGCCCGCAGCTTGACAGATGTCTGCCAGAGAGGCGCCGTGAGCCAGTGCCCAGGAGGAGGCAACACTCCGAGTGGAGTGGGCTCTCACCCCCAGGGAGCATGGCCTTGGGCACGTATCCAAGCCGGGGTCTCAGGACAACGTGAGAGTATGCTGGCCTGAACACAAGGCACTCTTCACTTACGGAAAATGCTTGGAGGTCCCCTTGATGGAAGTGAGCAGGATCCACCTGCAGGATCGCCATGGCATGCAGGGCAGAGGCAGCTTGGCCCGCAGCACTGTAAGCTTTGGCAGTTTACAGGCTTTGGACGGGAGACGTGGACGATTCCTCCAAGTGGCGGCGTTTTGCAGGCACAGGTGCACCGCAATCGCTCCCACCACCTGGGGAATGCAGGCAATGCCATGGTCATATGCGCACAGACGCATGATTCATCCACAAGCGACGCTTCAGCGTGCTGAAGGCCCAGACATAGCGATCATGGCCGTCGAAAGAGGACAGGAAAAGCATCCAGAAGAACACGGACGAAACGGCATCTTGAAAAAGACTGGAATCGTCTGTGATTTGCTCTTTTAGAGAAAACTTATCTTTTAGCTGAAGTAATTGACAGGGACACCGCTGTAACGTGCCGTAACACCAACCAGGAACAGCCTCCGCAACACAAAGGTGAATGGCTTTGTAGTAAATGATTGACATGGACTACTCGGCTCCGAAGCAAAAATCTAATGAGTGGATGCGCGCTGTCGCCTTATATACCCGTGTGCACGGGGAGCGGCTCAGCATGCAAAATCCACTAGCCAATTTTCATTGGTGTTTTCTCTTAAACCCAGAGATGATTGGGCCCCCAAGTTAGACCCCTAATGTCGTCACGACATTACTCGTAGTGACTGACAGATAGGAAACTAAAATTAATTTCTATACATTTTTCACAAAAGATTTGAAAGGATTTTTCTGTTTTTGAAAGAAAAACATGCAAAGTCGTTTTTGCACTTCAAATAAAGCAAGAAATCCAGAAGTGTAGTTTTTTTGTCAGCCTTATGAATAAAATATGCTGTAATTAGACTGCAGAGGATATAAGCAATTTGGCCATAAGATCTTTAAAACATGTGCATATCTGCAGCCGATCTTATTTTGTAGATTTGATGCAGTATCTTATAATTTTATCACCGAATATTAACAGCAGTCTTCTGTTAACAACTGGCTGACAAAATTACTCGTAGTGACCGACAGATAGGAAACTAAAATTAATTTCTATACATTTTTCACAAAATATTTGAAAGGATTTTTCTGTTTTTGAAAGAAAAACATGCAAAGTCGTTTTTGCACTTCAAATAAAGCAAGAAATCCAGAAGTGTAGTTTTTTTGTCAGCCTTATGAATAAAATATGCTGTAATTAGACTGCAGAGGATATAAGCAATTTAGCCATAAGATCTTTAAAACGTGCATATCTGCAGCCGATCTTATTTTGTAGATTTGATGCAGTATCTTATAATTTTATCACCGAATATTAACAGCAGTCTTCTGTTAACAACTGGCTGACAAAATGAAAAAATCTGTTATTTCTTTATTTAAAGGGTAAAAAAATAACACAATAACTTTTCATTAACCCTTGTATGGTGTTCGGGTCTGTGGGAACCGTTTAAATTTTTTATCAAAATAAAAATGATATGATTAATTATTTTTTCAAACTCAGAATCATTGGCCTTGGCTCTTTTTCTGTGAAGAACATTAACCCGGGGCTAATAAAATTGTGGAAATTTTAGGTCCTGTGTACCTTCACTCTGTCCTCCTCCTGTCTGGGCCTGATATTAGTATGTGTATGTGTGTGTGTGTGTGTGAGAGAGAGAGTCTGTGAAAGTGTGAGTGTAAGTGTGAGTTCCCGCACAAGGTTGTAACACTTTAATTCATAAATGTGATCTAACAAAGGTAAAGGGCAAATATTAACCATATATGCTGTTTATATTGCTTGCAATTGGGTAAACATCTCTGAGTATTTTAACATAAAATTTTTGATTGTGTTGAATTAAAAACCCAAAAATGCAGCGGGTCCACCAGACCCACGAACACTGGCTGAATAACAAAAATATGAACACCACACAAGGGTTAACTTAAGCATGTTTTTTTGTTTAATTAATCATAATTTTTCAGGTTTTACTCTTTTAGCAAACTGCACCTTCCAGTTCACCATGCAGCATTTTTCACTCGCTCACTTAATGTTTCCAATGTTTGGCTTCTTATATTGATCATAATTGAATAAAACATGCTGAGTGTCGATGAGAAAGCATTACCGCAAGATGTCATTTGGCATGCAGATAACGTCAATATTTCTCAAATAAAATAATATGTGCACATAATATTAATCTCTCTAGCTGTAATCGTGCGTGTAATCGACACCAGTCCAATAATCAGTCAGGTTGTGCAGGAGGAAACCAACCTGTGTCTCATGCAGGAGTTACTCAGGGGTGATCTCTGTTTCCTGATGCACCACCACTTTCGTCACAGACATATCAGGGTGCTGCTCCTTCGCCTCCTTTATAGCCTGAGCAAGAGCCTGGAGAGCAGAGAGGACAGTTTTCAACCAGACCACTAAACTTACACATTTAAAGGCCCCATGAAATCAGAATTGAAGTTTTGTGGCTTTTAATCCATCCTTGCTAGCTTTAAGGTATGTTAGCAGATATATGCATTTAATTGTTCTCTTTCAGGAAAATAGACCAATATTATGGAAATTTTGGCCCACATGTTTCCAATGTTTGGCTTCTTATATTGATCATAATTGAATAAAACATGCTGAGTGTCGATGAGAAAGCATTACCGCAAGACGTCATTTAGCATGCAGATAACGTCAATATTTCTAAAATAAAATATGTTCATATAATATTAATCTCTCTAGCTGTAATCGTGTGTGTAATCGACACCAGTCCAATAATCAGTCAGGTTGTGCAGGAGGAAACCAACCTGTGTCTCATGCAGGAGTTACTCAGGGGTGATCTCTGTTTCCTGATGCACCACCACTTTCGTCACAGACATATCAGGGTGCTGCTCCTTCGCCTCCTTTATAGCCTGAGCAAGAGCCTGGAGAGCAGAGAGGACAGTTTTCAACCAGACAACTAAACTTACACATTTAAAGGCCCCATGAAATCAGAATTGAAGTTTTGTGGCTTTTAATCCATCCTTGCTAGCTTTAAGGTATGTTAGCAGATATATGCATTTAATTGTTCTCTTTCAGGAAAATAGACCAATATTATGGAAATTTTGGCCCAATAAAAAGCTCTCTATGAGAATGTCTGTAAAACATTCTGCGTCTGTGTGTCCGACGTGGTCGTTAACTGTAGGTGCATTTCACCTTATCATGGTCAATCTCAGTGTCCCCAGTGATCACGATTCTCTTCTCGATACGGGTCTCTGAGATCCCGCCTTTCACCGTCTGAGCAGAGAAAGGGAAGAGAACGAGAGAATGAGAGAGCCAGAAACACAGTGAAGCGAATATCTCATCTGTGCAGTACGGCGATTCTTGACTAACTTTGTGAAATGGAAAGATACTGCGGAATGGTGATATAAACTGTAATTTACAACGGCTTTATCACATGCTCGCAGCCTCTTGGCACCATTGTACCCTGCCTTGCAGTGTGCAGCACATGCAAATCAGTTGTAAGTTGGATATTGTAAAGTTTTCTGCAATTATGTTCTGCAGAAAGTGCTCATCTTATTATACATTTTACATTGTGCTTAAATAGGATAATTTAACATCAATCCGTTCTTCTTTAAGAGGCAGACATTGCAGGATCTTTCGTGATATTGCAGGTTTAGGCGCAGCTTCATGTACCTTGGTGATCTGGGTTGTGGTGGTGGTGCTGACAGTCTCTGAAGTGATGGTCTGAGCACTCAACAGCATCCCAGACTCCTTCTCTGACACCGCGTTGGGCTATTAGCAAACAAACACACATGTGCTTAGAACACTCTTCCATTACATCTCTCATTTATCACTTCCACCCAAAGCTATTTCCTACAGAGCCCCAAAGGGGACACAGTCATGGTTGGGGGGGGCAAGAAATGGGAGGAAAGATTATATTTCAATGATTTAGCATTTGCTTGCAAAACTTGTGGGTTCTCTCAAACAATGTTTTGCATTTTCTCACTAAATAATTTAAATATAGTTTTTTTCTCCCACATTCTCAGAAAAAAAGGTACAAAAGCTGCCACCGGTGCTGTATCCTGTCAAAAGGTACACATTGGTACCTTATTTACCCCTAAAGGATGCATGTAAGTACATTAAAGGTATATATTAGTATCTAAAGTGTATATATTAGTACCAAAATGGTACATCCTAGTACCTTTTCAGAAAGTACTGCCCCAGTGACAGCTTTTGTACCTTTATTTCTGAGAGTGCACGTCCATCAGCAGTTTTGTGTTCAGTTGCAGGAGGTCACGAGAGAGAGCACAAAAGTTTTGTGAACGAATGCAAAGTTTCTTGGGGTATGCAAAAGCATTGAAATATATATTTCTTTATAAATGAAATCTGCTTTTGCCCCATCACTCTGTACCTTTAGGGTCTTCGTAATAAAACAAATGCTTCCTACTAAAATAATCAAAAATGTATGATTATATAGAAATTCTGTCCAAACCAAAAAGCCAAAAAGTTTTTTTTTTTTAGTATTGACAATAGCTGATATGATATTGTAAATCAGTGTAAATCTTTGGTTTGGGGGAGAGAAAAAAAGAAGAAGAAAGAAGAGAACATTTTTTTAGAACTTTTATATGCTAAAAGTGAGTTAGCATATTTTTTTTACCTATTACACTTATTTAACAGTCCTGTTGCGCATTCATATTGGGTATGTACACCGTGAGTTTACTGTAAAATAGCGCAGCCAGCAAGTGAATTCAGGCATTATAATATACAGTATGAAAGATAGGTGATTTTTCTTCTGTAATCTGATATATTTTTGAAAGAATGAAAAAATAAGCCCTCATTATTATAGCAGTGGACCTCTGGTGTGCTGGTTAGAAACTATTTTAAAAACTGGCCTCGGGTTATATAGTAGAGCTCAAAGAGAGACAACGAATAGATCTTAATGATTAGCTAAACTCGCTCAGAAATGCACTGTGAAAATGACAGCACTGCAACAGATTACAACAAAGACTGAATACATTCTGTTCTGAATACAGATGTGTGCCGATACGTGCTACCAAAATCAAAATAAACATCCAATATCGTCCAATGCTTGATTATTATAAACAAAATCCTTACTACTGGGTGATGTGGTTACCAACATGTATTGATGCTGATATATTTTGCATCCCAATTCATTTTTCATTCCATGTGTGGCATATGGAAACACTGGCACAGCAAAAGACTAATCAAAAATGATGACAGCAACAAGGTTGATTCAAAAAGCGCCTCGGCTCACCTGTGCAGACTCATATGTGATGGTCTTGGTCTCTGTATGCACAATCGGGATGTCCTTGCTGGCGATTTCGCTGCGGAGGGAGTTGGTGACATCAGAAATGGTGATCGTTTTCGTCTTCACCACAGGAGACTGTGAGAGGGGTCAAGACACAGTGGAGAGTGAGCAGAGAATCGCTTTTCTCACTACATTAACTTCACCTCACACACATAAGCAATTAGCAAACACCATCTGGAACCTTTGGCCAGGCCTTTGTACTGTAAGATTGATATTCTGTGCTGACTACCTCAGAAAAAAAGCTACTAGACAAGAAAAAATGCTTAGGCTGGTGAGACTTTGAACGGTTGGCAAAAAACAACAACAACGGGCTAGAACAGATACCAAATACAGCCGCTTCAATGATTTCATATGTACTTGATCACCCTTTCCAATCAAATCATTTTCTTTAATGGTGCGTAAAAGAGTAAATATATCTATCTCTATTGACTGGATTTCTTAAACAAAAGTGGTATAAATTTCCCACCCAGCTGAGTTAAAATTAAACTCAGAGAAATGTGTACTAAATTAGTGCTGTCCAATTAATCAAACATATTGCAATCACGATATCGACTACAATTCATCTATGATATTGCAATTTTGATATTGAGTAATACAGGAACAGTTCCCAGCTACTTCTGGATACGCAGCCTAAGAAAAGATGGCATGATATTGCTCACGACATAAGTATATTAATGTAAATTACCAGGAAAATAATTGAAAATGAGTCTCAGTTGGAATGAAATTCTGCTTCACAGAAGTGGAGCAAAATCTATCAGGAAGCTCCACAAACACTCCTCCATTAAGAGTGAGGAGTGTTTATTCCAAAACTACATACATCCTCATGACTGAGAGGACCTGAATGAAGCCTTCATCGTGTCTATTCCTATTACCCACAACGCTTGGCTCAGATATGCAGATTATGCACAAATGATCACAAATTAGTATGGTTTTGCTCTTTAATAATTTATCTACAGGCACTCGGCCAAAAAAGCTTTTGATTTAGGAACATTTGGCACATTGTAAGTCAAATATTAATTTCATCCAATAATGGCGATGTCAGGTTGACAGATGATGATGGGAATGACCAATTCAAGCCAAATCATGGGCTCACCATGTGGTGCTTTCAAAAGAAGAGCTCGGTGTGACGACTTGCATCAGTCTGCAAGTCTCCTTTCATAGTTATTATGCATTTAAAAAGGGCCAAACTAAAGTCACTCAAAGTAGTCTATCATCAGCCAAAAGAAACCAAAGACTAGCAGAAAAGCCATTTACAGAGGAGCTGAAGAGCTCAATCTCAGACACCAAAAACTCTCAAGTATCCATGAACTCACCTAATAAGATAATGGAGAAAAAAGGCAAAGGCTGAAAAATCGAATTAGTCTGAGATTATGTACTTTTTTTATCCGTACCATCCAGGGAACCACAAAATCTCTTGCAAAAGAAAGATCTCCATACGCTGCGTTCATACTGAATGGATTACATGCTCTCAGTTAGACTGAGGAAAAATGGATTAATTATGAATATTTTGGAATATTAGACATACATTTTCCTGTCTTCTTACAAGCATCAATAAAGCAGTTGCAGTTTGTCTGGAAATAAAGATCATTTGGCTGTAACCAAGAAATCACAAAATATATTGTGCTTATAGATGACCATGACAAGATCATAATTAAGAAAATTAGTTTTTGCAGTGGGTATGGCGATTTTAGAGTGCACAATAAAAGCAACATGAGGGAATTTCAGACATTTGAGCTTGCAACTTGAAATTAATCGACTTTTATGTACATTTCACTAGATTTCAAGACGTTCTAGATGTGCAAATGACTTCATAGAAAATATATATTTTTTTAATTTATTGATTGTACCTTGGATTGTCTTTATCATGGAATGGAGCTTAGTCAGAGCAGCTGTTTTATATCACTTGAAGCAAATCAAAATCAGTATTTGAAATATATGAAATAAAAAAAATAAAAAACAGATGGTCTATGACAACCTATTAAACAAGAACGAAGTGTACCCACTGACAAAATTGTGCACATCCAAAATTTGTGTCAAATTAAATATGGCATCTGACTAAAGTTCATAGAAGTGCAAATGTGTAAAAGTATTTTTTTTAGAGATACTGTAAATAAAGATACTTAAATGCATATATATGCAATACATAAATTGATGAACATAAAAACACAATCTCTTCCTTCTATCACTATGCATTATGCTGTCACTCATTGCAGAGAGAGAGAGAGGCTGTGATTGTTGTACATGGAAAACTAATTTAAAGCTAGCATGACAGTAGTACTGATGTTTTTGAAGAATGCTGGAGTCCCATAGAAGGAGAAACAGGATCATATTTGTGGGGTGTGTAATTAAAGCCCTGATATGCTGATCTACTAAGGGCTGATACGACATAAATACACTTCACCTCTGACTAAAGTTCATAGAAGTGCAAATGTGTAAAAGTATTTTTTTAGAGATACTGTAAATAAAGCTACTTAAATGCATATATATGCAATACATAAATTGATGAACATAAAAACACAATCTCTTCCTTCTATCACTATGCATTATGCTGTCACTCATTGCAGAGAGAGAGAGAGGCTGTGATTGTTGTACATGGAAAACTAATTTAAAGCTAGCATGACAGTAGTACTGATATTTTGAAGAATGCTGGAGTCCCATAGAAGGAGAAACAGGATCATATTTGTGGGGTGTGTAATTAAAGCCCTGATATGCTGATCTACTAAGGGCTGATACGACATAAATACACTTCACGAAGAAGTAGACTAGTTTTTTGGTGGTATTATAGAAATGGTCACTTTCGTTATGCATCGGCTGGCAATGGAGGAGAGATTTATATCTGCAAAGAGAAGCAAAGTGCAACGTGTGCTGAAAAGTTGTCCAGAGAAATCCAGTGGTCACAGGGTGATGTATGAATAACATAAAAACTAAAAAAGCTACAACTACATTTGCACATACTGAAGGAAGTAGTGTTTGCAAGGCAGCAAAACAATTGTTAAAGTTCAGCTAGTAAGCTTAGGTTTTAGTCTTTGTTTGTGCATAATCAAAAGACCAATCACAAATCGGTAAACAAATAAATGCATAAAAAGACCGCTCAAAATTTAGTATGCAAACACTAGGGTAACATCATTGTTATCAGTTAAACGTATCTCTCAAATATTTTACACAACTGTAACACTACTAGGATATTTGAATGTTTTTTAAAATAATTATTTAATGCACATTGATTTGGGGGGGGGGGGGTAAAAACAGTAAAATATTATTGCAATTTAAAATAATTGTTTTCTACTGGAATTTATTAAAAATAATAATTTATTCCTGTGATCAAAGCTGAATTTTCAGCATCATTCCTCCAGTCTTCAGTGTCACACGATCCTTCAGAAATCAGTATAATATGCTGATTTGATGATCATCAACACAACATATTTATATATTTTTTAATAATTGCAACAAATTGCCTATATGTTAAAAATAGTTATGCTGCAAAATATCTTTGTGGAACCCTCGCCCTTCCAATATTATTTGATAAATACAATGTTCAATAAAACAGCATTTACTAGAAAAATACATTTGATGTTCATCTTCATCCTCCTCCATATGCTGCAGCAGCGGCGGGCCTCCTGGTGCGGGCGCCCACCTGACCCTTACCTGCTGTCGCCTCGATGTGCCTGCTGCACGCTTCCATCTCTGCGCAGGGCAACGGGACACCAAGAGAGACACAGAACAATGGACAGACATGTGGAGTGGGGAGAGACATGGGGAGAGATTGATGAGGGGTAGTAGAGATTTCTGGGTAGGTTTGAAGGGTCCGGGCTCAGGATCTGAGCTTAGAGGACGCCAGAGTGGTTTAAGCAGGCCAGATGGATTGAAGCAAAGGCCTTGAGGGTTTTTATATCATCAACACAACATATTTATATATTTTTTAATAATTGCAACAAATTGCCTATATGTTAAAAATAGTTATGCTGCAAAATATCTTTGTGGAACCCTCGCCCTTCCAATATTATTTGATAAATACAATGTTCAATAAAACAGCATTTACTAGAAAAATACATTTGATGTAACAATGTAAACGATGTCTTTGCTGTCACTTTTGATAAATTTAAAGCATCCTTGCTGAATAAAAGCAGTATATTATTTATCTATTTATTTATTTGATATAGTATTTATATTGATATCAAACTTTTGAATGCTAAGTCAGTGGGACATTTCCAAAATAATAATTGTTTACTGTTAAAATCAAAATTTGAACAAAAACAACACTTAAACCTGAAATGATCTAGAAGTCAAAGTTTTAATTTTAGTCTGTATGGTAAATGGTTTGCACTTCATTAATTGCAGAAAATTAAGAAAAATAATAAGAACGATTTAATTTAATCCAAACTCATCTTGCAAACACTGTTAAATTTTACTGAAACTGAATGGTTATTTTAAGCAGTGAGTTCAAAATTAAGGAAATCTGAAAAGCCAGAAAAACGTTAAGTGAATGATAAATAAATCGTTATGTCCTATTAAAACTATAAGCTGTCAATCAACATCCCTGTGAAATGGTGAAATCATTAAGAGTCCCAGAGGAAACAAACAGAAAAACAGGAAGGACCTCATCCTCTTTCCATCCTTATTGTCTTCCAATCCAGATAAGATTAGTCTGAGAGCGGCTGCTGTCTCCCTGATATCTATTGTCTCTCAAATGAAGACAAGCCACCACAGCATCAGCGTCAGGACCAGCAGGGTGCTCAACAGGAAGGAGACACGGGGGCGATGCAGTGCCACTGGGTACAGCTGGCAGACACGGGCCTCTTCCTCTGTGGACACGCCTATGGAGACTTGGATGGCATGTCCCTGAGCCTCAGTGTATTTTTCTTCATCACAAACATCATCATCATCTTCATCCTCCTCCATATGCTGCAGAAATGTGCGGGCCTCCTGGCGCGGGCGCCCACCTGACCCTTACCTGCTGTCGCCTCGATTTGCCTGCTGCACGCTTCCATCTCTGCGCAGGGCAACGGGACACCAAGAGAGACACAGAACAATGAACAGACATGTGGAGTGGGGAGAGACATGGGGAGAGATTGATG